ATTCCTTCGGATATTTCGGATACCAGTGAATGGGAATGGATAGCGGGAGGCTTCCCTTGTAGGGATGTAGCCAGAGAGCGTTTTATTTCAGACTCACTTACACCTCACCTCTCAATCGCAAATAATTCTAATCACACCATAACCAATCCTGAAATAAAATCTGAGATTTTAGAAAACGACATTGAACCAAGCAGAGAACAACCTTTGGACCAATCTTACGAGTGCCCAATAAGTATAATACCCGCCAACCGAACACATAGTACTGAGGAGCAGAGAACCTTAAGCCAGGGAAGGGACAATGACACCATTGAACAACAGGACCTGCAAGACGTGCCTAATCCAATGGAAAACGATTCAAATACGGACTTCCCGGTGTACGAGATTAATGACTCAACCGACGAGTGTACTGTACCTGACAAGTGTACTTTACCTGCTAACCCTACCAGCATTTTCGGTAAAATTCCTCCTACCATCCGCCGCTCCAGTAGAAATGTTGGTCCACCAAAATTTTATGGTAAACGTTATTTTATTGATGCAGTAGAGAACGTTCAAGAAGCCTCGGGTTCGGCGGCCGATCCTATCGTGATAGAAATTGAAGGACCACACGACACCATCAACAAGACAAATCCGGCGGAGTTAATTGTCTTAGATTCAAATTCAACATCACCTGATCAAACGTCAACTTCATCAACCGACGAATCACTGAGAATGGAAATAGAAAATTTTGGAGATCACTCTGATCTCGATAGCGAACTTTTCAACACAGAACTTGAAAACTTTTTAAAAGAATATAAATCATTGTAATCACTCAGCTATACTCCAATCTGTTATTTTGGCTTACCAAGAAGCACATACTACCTTATAAACTGGTGCTAATCTTCAAATATTAATTTGTCGATCGGTAATTGTAAGAACTTTATCCTTCGGATAAACTTAATCCAGAAAAAGAAAACATCATCGTGTGCTCTCATAAATCATCCAAATCGACTTCCCTTCAGTTAGTCTATTACAAAGCAAGACCCCACCCATAAAACGTTGTGTAAACTTCACCGCATTTTATTTTGCTTTAACATAACCCTTATCCGTTGGATTCCGGATAATCTTTCTTGCAGTTATAATAGCTGTATTTAATGCTATAGGGAGCTTTAGTTAGTGTCAGTTCCTCATTTTTAAGGCGCTTTAATTTTCTTTCCTTCGTCCTTAAAGGGGGAGAAAGGAGTCAGTCATAGTTAGTTATAGTGCATTACCTTATTCGCAATTTAAATTTTTTTCTGCTTAGGGGAATGTTGTGATCTTACATCAGGTTTTGCAATTATTGCAAAACATACTTAGTTAATTAACCGGTCACTCATATATGACCTTCATGAGCCATTCTCTCCGGCGGAGAGAATGATCTCTCGTTGTTTTAATGTTTTAACTTATCGACTAATTCATCTTAATTCTTATTCTTTTTATTAGTTTTAACCTAGAATTAGCTACAACAAAGTAACATTTTATCACAAGAGGTAAAAAGTTCCAGGTTAAGATTCACTGGTGAACAAAGTTAAAAGCAAATTCAGGATTATATTAGCTAAATATCTAATTTCAATGTCCATTTTGGACAACATTTCCTTCAAAATTAAGCATATCTTTTACAAAGGCTAAGTGCAAATGATCAGAGCTACCCTCTGTGAAACTGTCAATATAAATTTTGCATCGTATCAGTGTGAAAACTTAAATAAACTCGGACATTTCTTACCTTTTCACGCAAATTAGAAACCACTTGCTGCATATCAGGAAAACAGGCTTTTTCAGAACCGGATTACATCGGTACCTTATTGAAAGAAAACATTGATAGTTTCACAGAGCGTAACGACGCTGTTCGTTTGCACTTAGTCATTTAAAACTTTACCTGATGTTTGTTTGAAATGTTGTCCAAAAAGGGAGATTGAAAACAGACATTTCAGAGAATGAAATCATGAATTTGTGCCTAACTTTGCCCACTACTGTATTATTAACGCTAGTGACCAAAATCAAGCGCAAAATCCCTTTTTTCCCTAAACGCCTGTTTCATGGATGATTTTGGATAGCATTCCCTGGATATTCAACCAACATTTTTTACTGCAACTGTTAGCAAATGATCTGAACTACACTCTTTGAAAGTCTCATTTTTTATTTTAAAAAACGAACAAATTTTTTCCGTGAATGAAAATACCAGTTTTCACCATCTGCTTTTAGTTTCTTAAAACGCAATTCTCAAGAAACAGCTAAATTTAGCAAAAATGTCCAATTTTTACCCCATTTGGTGTTTAGCTTATTTGTTTTGTTGAAAATGTCGCGCGTTCTTATCAAATGACTGAATAATTTTACTCAATTTTTTCGAAAAAGCGTTTAATTGTATGAAAAACTTACTGCAGATGTTAAAAAAACTGGCCTTTTCAGACCCGTAAAGAACTGGTAATGACTTGAAACCCAGTTTTGACAGTTTTGTAGAGAGTAGCTTAAATTGTTCTGTCCTGGTTTTAAGAACTTCATTAAATCACTTGAGAATTTTTTGTCGCTAGTTGCTGGTTTTTGTTGTTCTTGCATCTCATGTTCATTCAAATCCTGCAATTACATTTTCTGGTGTAATTTTTGTCAACAAAATTTTATATTGATTTCATCAGTCTAGAATGGCTTAAGCCAAAAATTACCAACAATTAGATTACATTCAACTCGCAACATAATCGTGAGACAGAACTATATAATCTGTTAGCTCGAAATATACTGCCATCTCCCGAATTAAAAAATGACAATGTCACTTAAAATTTAGCACATATTTTTGAAAAGACTGTTTTAGAGTTTGATGATCAAATCATAGACTGTTTCTCCTAAATTTCTTTTGAATGAACATTTCTTATAACTGCGTGAGTGCTTTATTTCGCTGGTTTCTAAGAAATGTTCATCCAAAACAGATTTAAAAAAAACAGTCTATGATTTGATCATCAAACTCTAAAATAGTCTTTTCAAGAATAAGAACTTAATTTTAAATGACATTGTCATTTTTGAATTCGGGAGTTGGCATTATAAGTCGAGCTAACAGATTTTGTAGTTCTGTCTCACGATTACGTTAAGAGTTGAATGCAATCTATTCGTTATTTTTAAGTATAGTATTTTTTTGCTTTAGCCATTCTAGACCGATGAACCTAGTTTTTTAATTGTGATTTGGTTTTGTAAACTGTACATTAAAAATTGGTGAATTCAATTTGTTCAGCCTTTCGTGAACAATTTTTTGTAATTCGTAAACATATGACTTACAAACATGCAGCACATTGTCTTCAAGAGAAGGTAAATCTGTCGATGCGAACCTCCGTTTGTAATTTACGAGTCTTAAGAACCTTTCAAATCCTTAAAACTTTTTAAGAACCTTTTGAATTCTTCGAGGGAAGACTTATTGACATATCCATAAACCAAGATGCCGCATTTATTTTTGGTTTAATATATATGTCCGAAAGACGCAAAAGCAATCTTTGGTTCAAAAATTTACGCAATTGACAGGTCAAACCCTACCAATTTTGCTATTTGAGTGAAATCATTGTCTATATGTAGCTGATACTAATTTTGAAGTCAATACAGATATTAAATTTTTGAACTAACAAAGAGTGGAAGGCCGTCTATTTGCAGGCAGGGTGTTTCCGAATGGTATCAATTTGCATTTAATTTTTTTCGTTTTAACATTAGAGCTCAGATATCAGATCTTTCCCTACCATATTGGCTTCTTTCTGGAACTCTAGATGATTTGTTCTTTGAGTAGAAATCAGAGATATATCATCTGCATAAAAAATAACAACAGTACTTACAGCTAACAAATTTGAGTCAATGATATAAATTTAAAAAGTAAAGGGCACAACACAGACCCCTGCGGTAGACCATGAGGCACAAAAAACGTTTCTGATTTAAAACTGGCAATGTCCACATATTGCATTGCTTTACTTGAACAGCTTTCTAGCAACTTCGAGGTCGGCAAAGAGATTTTCAAATGGTGAAAAAGTTTTCAAATTTAAACTTTTAAACATTATTCATCTATTGGTGTTTTCTCAGGCAAATGGTAATAGAATTATGCAGAAATCTGCAAAAACAGCGAATGTTTGCAAAAAAAAAATATTTTGCGTTTTCGCATTGGAATGGTTTCCTCGTAATTTAGTCTGAATTATGGTAAAATGCATAAAAATTGTTCTCGGGACTGAGACTTTTTTGATTTTTTCGGAATCCGTGTTACGATCAATAGGGCTTTAGTGAGCAGCCAATGAACACTTTCGAGCTTGCTTTGATATAGGAAACATTGTGTGATTGTGAAAAACAGTGTGTTCATTGTTCGTTACCTTTCTTTATGTGGTTTGTTCGGAACTAAAACTGGTCGAAAACAACACAACCGGTCGGAAATAAAAACCAAAAATTAAGCAATCATTCAAAACAAATCTCAATCTGTACAAAAAGAGGGAATAGTTTTTTAGTATAAGTTATCTCCACGCGCTAAACTGTTTGTTTTTTATAAATTTACAATCTTTCAAGCCCACTGAAACGTCCATGGCAAAAACTCAGTTCAGTCGTCGTATTGAGGAAACTTGTTTTAGTCTACATTCAGGTCTGATCAAACTTCCGGAAACAAAACTATTACTAATTTTCTGAAAAAATCTGAACGTGAACACGTCACCAAAGTTATAAATCCAGATTCTCTCAATGCATTTTCTGACTTCATCCGGGAAAATAGAGGCTGTCTAGACCATGATTTTTTTACACCAACTGAAATTCTGCGCGAGTTTTAATTTAAAATTGGTAGCTTAAATCTCTGTAATTTTACCTACACGAAGAGAAAACAGAACTGACGTAACTATTATGCGGCAAACCTTTATTTTGTTTTAACCCCCTGTACATGGGGCAGACAACTCAGAAGCTTGTTTAGGTTTGCCATAAAGCAATCAACATGAAAACCAAAACAGGAGCTTTAGCTGTTATTGTTATATTTTCTGAGCTGTCTCTAATACCATGTCGAAATATGGTTTCGCCACTGTGAGTTCACACTGAGTTCTTATATTTGCCATATTTTGATAACCGTTTCCTGTCTAGAAATACATGATAAATTCACTGCTGGAACCTTAACCCAGATTTATCTTGAGCCAAGAATCTAAATATTCTAACAACTTCTGAAGTTGAAAAAGGTACATACAAACTCTTAGCTATAACCCAAATGCACACATTGAAAAAATCAAAGCCTAAAAATCTATTTGACTTTAAATAAACATAATTATTTATAAAAACGAATCGGCTGCAATAATTGGAGACTTTAAAAATGACAAAATGTTTTATTTTCTTTGTTTGTTTTATGGTTTTACCAAACATAACAACGCCAAAACAGTCACCTGAAGCTAAAATTAAAGTTAAACTGTCCGATAAATTTATTGACCAAGTTTTTCGCCAATTTTCTGAGTTGCTGAGTGAAAAAATGCACAGCTGGAGATATTCATTGGATTTCGACGACAACTTCATGACTTCTACCAAGGATGGAACAGTCTTGATTGGATCATTCAGGTGAGTGAAACAGGTTGAAAACCCATCCAAAAGTCGATGCTTCCAACTATATGAGTAACTTTTTTTTCATTCAAAAAATCCTTCTCTTATGACCAAAAAGCTATGATATTTTAAGAACAACATATATCGATTGATCAAAACAAGTAAAACATTGATTATAAAGGCGAAAAGAATTTCTTCCAGTGAAAACAAAAAAAAATTCTATACAAAAGTTTTTCTGTGCAGTCTAGTCTGCCAGCCGATTTTCGAGAAAAATCACAGAATTTCTCCCGTTTATTCCGTTTAAAGTCGTCACAGCATGCTGACCATGAATAAGAAGACAAAACTTGGCAAGTTTTCATGCTTAAGAGTATTCTTTTTTCTCCTTTTTTTAATCTGAAAATGGAAGAAACGAACGGTTTAAATTTTTTTTTCTTCAGACCAGTTTCGACGTTTCAGCCAGCTAATTTTTGTATCATCTGAAAAAATATGAAGCCTTGAGCTCAAAATCAAAGATATATTTGACCTGTCATCTTTTCCGCATGAAGCTATGAAAATTTGAAGAAACAATTTTCTACAAATTTGTAAGATACTTCGAGTTGGTTCATTTTTAAACCAAAAACTAATTCAGATATTTTAAAAAGCAGTCAAAACATTCAAAACTTTGCCCTGATACGAGCGAGCAGTCTTTTTGCTCTTGGTTTTCGATATTAAAAAATAGCCATTCCATTCCAATTTGTTCAAGAAGTGACTGAACATTTGTTCTTGGTTTTTTTTTCTACAGATAAGTTTTAATTTTTTAATTAGCCATTTTTGAAAGGATTTTTTTTTCAGTCAAGGCAACAAGACTGCTTATATCAGGGTAAACTTCGACTTAAAATTAATGGAGTAGTGTTCGCCTACAAAATGATGGAGATTTTCCCCACAAGCTATATAAAGTATAAAAATTATTGTTCCGACTTTCGAAGAAAACGGAATATTTATGCTCGGTGTGGTATTTTTATTCAGTAAATTTTTGGCGATCGAAATAATAGTTTTCGACAAAAATTTTCTTATTCCATTGAAGATATCGACTTGACTTCCTGAGTTCAAATGAAAAAAGATATTTTACCTCCAATAATTTTTTAGAAAGTTCTGGGGGTTTGAAAGTTGCCAAATTGGCCATGTTCTGGACTAAATTATGCGCACTTTGAAGAATTTATTCATATAAATGATAGCGTAACGCGAATTATTTATTCGTGGCGAATTACCCCGTACAACAAAATTTTACAAATTGAATTGAGGCTAGCTAATCAGATCGGTCTTATTAATTTCGTACGACAAAACATTTCATACTTTGATATAGTCCAAAATTTATTGGTCTTCACTATTTTCTTCTCCCAAAAACTATTCGATGTGAAGTAAGGGATAGTCAGAAATTTAAGGGCTTTGCCCTGATAAACGAGCAGTCTTGTTTCCTCTATAGCAACATATTAAATAGTTCAAATATGCATCAGTCCAATTTGGAGTTAAAAGGGATTGAACCTTGGCTTACGCGTTAATAGCGCGAACTATATAGCGCGTTAATTATCCCAAACTACCTAATAGATTATCTTTAAACCACCATAGTTTTACGAAAAACTATCACAGGTAAAATATCTTTTTAAAAATGAGTTGAGGACAACAACAATGATACCAAAAATTTCCGTCAAAAATGGCTGATTAAAAAGTCGAAGTTTGTCTGGAGAAAAAAACTACCCGAGCAAAAAAGTCGGAATAATAATGAGCAAATTTCAATTTTAGAAAAAAAATATTTCCTTTCAATTATTTTTTGAAGTTATGAGGAATTGAATTTGGGACTATTTTGACCAACTTTGGAATAATTACGCCCGCCATCAGTTTTCTGGAACTAATCATTAATCTTAATAAGTTGCAAATTCAAACGTTCAAAAATTATGCCATATTGAATTGAAGCAAGCAAATTAGTCCAAATAACGCGTTAGTAATAACAAAAGTATCTCTGTGTTCTTGACTTTGTGCCTAGTGGGCTAACTAAAAAACGAAACTTTCAAAAGAAATTTTTTAAAACTTTATCTTTTTGTCAAAAACTACTTCACGTAGGTTATGGGGCCAGTCGGAAACTTCAAGGTTCGCCCTCGTACAATCTGTGTGATAATACGTAATTATACGCAAAACCAATTGTTTTGCACTTGACATAGCGAGTTAGGCGGAATTTTTTTCATAAGTTTCATCAATTTTTAAACCGAAAAAAAAAAATTCTTAAATTTTAAAAGGCGGTTGGGTTGTTTTTTGATGTGCCCTAATACGAGCAGCCAGAAACAAAAAACTATAATTGAATAATAAACCAATAGCGCTAGCAGCATTACGGGGACCCTATAGAAAAATAAACTTAAAAACAGGAGCCCCTCGCCCCTCAGGAGTTTAACTACCCCGATTCTGACCACCATAAGGGTCCTATTTTACATGAATTTTTGACGAACCGACCCAAAAATTTTCTGAAGGCGTTTTTGCTGTCAATTCATGCTTATTTTGAAAAATGCGCGCCAAAAAAACGCAATTTATGGTCACTACTTCCAAAAAAATCTAAACAATTGATAACTTGATTTGCCTGTTTGACAATACACTTATTCGAAACTTTGCTCCTTACTAACTTTTTCAGGGATCCAATTTTAACAGTGGGCAAAGAACCTTCGAGTAAAAAGATCTCAATCACTGCCACGTTTCCCGCTCTCACTCTTCAGTGGAACTACCAGCTGTATGCTTCTGCCTTCCGGGTCAAAGTGTACTGGGGCAGAGCGAGGTTGAACTTCAGACTGACGAATCTGGCGATAACCTTTAACCTACCCGGGGTCAGTTTAACCCCTGAAGGATCTACGTTGTCATCGGGCAATTTGGAGTATGCTTTGAAGATGGACGGACCTGTTTCGTGGACTAGCAAGGACTGGTATCTGCAAAAAGTTAGAAGTGCTGATTTTTTAAAATTGTGAAAACTTTTACTTGATGTTGCACCAAAATTCAATTGGCGATAAAAAAAATTAGCTTTCCAAAGATAATACAGATTCGGCGATGGTTGACAGTGGGACTACTTTTACTTTTAATTTACTTTTACTTTTACTTTTAATTGTAAATTTTACTTTTAATTGTTTCAATTTTACTGTTAATTGTTTCAATTTAATGGTTTTACTTTTTTAGTTTCTTACAGTAATTTTACTTTTAATTTTACTTTTAACTGTTTCAATTTAATTGTTTCACTTTTTTTAGTTTCTTATAGTAATTTCAAGAAAAAAGCACGTTAAATGTGTTTTTTTAAATATTTTCAGGATATATTTAGGGTATACTATTAGTTTATTTTTGTATGGTGTACACAAAACATATTTTTTGTATAAACATCTAATGTATCTTCTGGTTACAGTGGAACTTTGAGAAAGAATTCGGGCAGGGCGAAGACTACGGTGCTAAACTACTGCAGTCGAAGTACCAGAACCAAGTATTGCGAAACCTCACGAGAACCTTGGCAAACTGCCTCGACGAAGACACAAGTGTAAATATTGATACAATCACGCGTTTTCTCAATGATTCGGTCGGAAAACTACCCAAATTATCTGCCAGTGAACCTCTTCTTAAAGGTATGAACTGTTTCAACACGTTTTTCTGTTTTTTTTTTGCCTTGAAATTTATGCCTGCAGCCGAAAAGGGTCTTTATTTGGTCAAAATAGGGTCTCTGTTGTGGTTTCTATTGTTTTTTTTGAAAACCTTCATCCCTCCCTCGAGAAAATCCTAGATCCGCCCCAAATTGCAAAGAAACCCTCTACGGTTCTTTTTCTGGATAACAAGATAATCATGTCCGGATATTTTTGTATTCAGGCTTTTTTGATTCGCATTTTATTTTTGTTCCAAACACGTCATAATTAGTTAGGGCAAAGGCAGTAGCTGAGTAGGGGAGGGGGGAGGGGGCGGTCCAAAGTGTCCCTCTTTTTGTTATAATTTTACGACATCCATTTTTGGCTCAGGCTAGCCTCAAAAACTTTCGAAACGCGACTTCGGCGCCAAAATAACTAATATTGAGGAGCACACGCCGAAAAAAACGCAATTTTTTGGTCAATCTTTTAAAAAAGTGCTCAAAACGCCATTTTGAGCATGTTTTTTGCTCGGAAAATCAAATTAGTCGACCTATTTCATTTTTTTCCCGAAAAATCGCCCCTCCCCTCTGAAAAAATTCTGCGCACGCCACTGGGTATAGGGTAATTTTTTCAGCTGATTTCAAATACTTCATGGGAAGCTTGCATGTTAAAGTCTAGACTGCGGTTTCTATAGATCTACACAGGCGCACAATTTTATGGCTTCAAAAAACTCATAGTTTCGCCCGATGATATTAAAAACAAGTTATATTTTTGTCAACCTTTTAAGCAGAAAATCTTATTTCTTAAGACTGTGTTCAGAACGCTCTCTGCATTTTGCAAAGAAAAGAGGCATTGCACTTATTTCAATCATGCTGATTTCTCTGGAAAGTAACTTGATAATAAGTTTGAGGCTTCCAACCAAGAATCGTAATTTTGGCTGAACCGAAATGTGCCAAATAAATAAAACTGTGCCGAAAACAGAGGCGCCCCTCTGGAAACACAACACAATTTGGAAATACAACACAAAGGGGGGAGCTTTTCAGTTTTTATGTGAAAAATATAGTTAAATAATGATTCATTTAATTTATCATTTGTATGAAAACGACTGCTTGAATATCAGGTAGGGAAAATTTTGGCAGAGAAAAATTTGATGAAATACAATTTTTTGCATTTGTTGCAATATGAAAACCCTATCTTAAGTGTTAAAATTTGAAAGTATTTTGGACCGTCTACATATTGTAGAGGAAGATAAAAAAGTAGAGTACAGCTTTGATTTATTATCTAGCGGAAAGCTGGTAAATGGCGAAAAATACACTTCCTTTGCCGGAAACGCAATTTTACTGTCGGAATCGGCGCCGAAACTACCCTAGTCGATCAAGGAGGGTTATCTTGCTAGATTTTGCAAGATTCCCTCAAATGAGGGTTATCTTGCAAAATCTTGCAAGATGGAGGTTATCGTGCAAGATCATCAACTATAAAATTTTCGCAAAACCTTATTCTGAGAGCCAGAGAAAGCTATTAAGATCCAATTTGACTACTGCCACAAAGAATTCTGAAATAAAGCTCGGAAAAAGCAGGTTAAACAATTTTTGAAAATGATTATATATTTTGATTTTTCATTTTTCGTGATGTAAATTGTTTCAGATTGCCGTTATAATTTATGCATTTCAAATTAAAATTTTCAACAACATTATTTTTGACTTTATTGGAATTTTTCATCTAGTTTTTGCAATTTCAAAGGTTAAATTTTAATTTTTCTTTTTATATTCCAAATTTTGTTGAATTAGCTTGAAGTAGAGAGTCAATTAGCTTGAAATATTTTGTTTGCTGTGTTCAAGTAAATCCGATGACTAATTACGTTTTAACAAGTTTTGTCCAAAAAATCGCGTTTTTTCGGCGCGCGCTCCCCCTCAAAATTAATATATGTTGGCGCAAAAGGCGCCTTTAGGAAAATTTTAGGGTTGGTCGGCCAAAACTGGATTTCTTAAAAAGTACCAAAGGGGGGATCCTTTGGGTCGGCAGGGGGTCGAATCCCTAAATCCGCCCCCCCCCCCTAAATCCGCCCCTGTCTAGCAAGATATTGCAAGAATCTTGCAAGATCTTTTAAAGAGATGCATCCTCTTTAAAAGAACCTTGCAAGATCTTGCAAGATAACCTCCCTTGACCAACTAGGGTAAGCTGAATTATGCCGAAAAATAAGATTCCTTATTCCAACAGTTGAACGCTCATAAACTGCCTACTTTTTTAGTCAACAACGACAAATTAGCCAAGTTGAATGTAGCGCAACTATACGAATACGTTTCAATTGGCCTTTACAGCAACAACCGCTCTGTTTGGTTTTCCATCAACCTCAAGTCCACAATCGGAACACGAAATCGACGCAGGCACGTAGCCGAATTTAAAAATGGGGAGGAACTAGAGGCGGATTGTGAGGATGAGAAACCGGACCAGGATTTGAGCGTGGCTGTAAAAAGAGTTCCCTACAAGATTGACTTAAGCAGTGAATCAGCTCAGTTAAACGTTTGTATTAATTGTTTCCAAGTTCTTTTCCTTTGAGCTCTATGGCAAAAAAACACAAACTTTTTTCTGTCATTTTTGAGAAAAGTGGTTTTCTTAAAAAATGAACTGCGTTTAAGAACGTATCGTTTTGAATTCCTTGCCTAATTTTCTAAGCCTTAGCCTTCAATTTTTTAAAATTTCGGCATGGAAGGGTGCCAAAAAATCAACCAATTTTAATGGCCAATGTTTCCACAAATAATGCAAAAACTACGAACCTTTCAACATCTGGAGAGGTAGCCGTGCCTTTCTCAAAAGAGCTCAGATATTCAACTTCGTCGGACAAAAAGCCGACAAAATTCCGCAACACTTTTGATAAAAACTTCAACATGACCAGGTAATCTGATTTTGAAAAAATTTTGCGCAGTCAGCGAAAATGGTTCCAAAAACTTTAATAGGGGACATTATGATTTGATGCTATGTATCACTGTTTTACTGATTTTTGCTTGATTTAAAGGCTCTGAAATCTTTGGACTATGATCTTTTCCATGAGAAGGTCATTGGTCCCTGGAAAGATGAAGTCCACACTCTGGTGGATAGAGGAAACGAAGTGAAGCTAACGGGTCATAACGTCTCCTTTCAACAAATTGGCCAGACTACTGGATCTCGACTGGAAAGAAAAGGATCGTGGACTTTCTCCGAAATTGGTAGATGATGAAATCTTTAACCGAATCGCTGAGCGGATCCCGTAATTTATATCAAAATATTCGATTTAACGGCAGAACCTTGAATGTTTTGACCTCCTTGAAACGTTAGGTAGTGTTTGGCAATATACAGGAGAACTTTTTTTAAAAGAAAAAAAAAGATTCAAAAAACTGTTTTTTGAAAATCATTTAACTTTCAATATCAAGAATAAAATTATACATTTTGCCTCTATCAACTCAAATTTTGAATTTAATGGCGTGCCTCAGTTTAATTTGGAACGATTTCAAATTTGTTGGCTGCTCACACCACGCGTTATTAGAAAATTGGTGAAAAATTCGCTCTAACTATCCCATATTGTGTAGTCCCATAATTAAACCCCCATAACTTTATTAACAATGATCAGAGGAAAATATCTATTCAATTTCAGCTTAGGGAATCAATATCTTTCAGGCTGCATAAAAATTTGGTCACAAATATTCGGTTAAAAATTGAAATCTATCTGGAGAAAAAAAAACATCTCACAAAAAAATTGTAATTTTTTTTTCAAAAGAAGATGAAGAAGAAGAAGAAGAAGTTTTTTCACTCAACGTGAACAGAAAAAAATTGATTCCAGAAAGAACAAACATTTTGTTGAGTACAAATTTTAGCAAATTGAAAGTTTTGTTTGAATTGACAAATCGTAAAATGCACTGAGGAAAGTTGATTGTGGATGCGCGTATGGTTGGATAAAAACCCATTTGGAGCGTACCCTGGTGACAAAAAATTTACTCAAAATTTAAGCATCGATTTTAAAACTTTTTACAGGAAAAAACTGAATAAAAACTAAAACAAAAAATTTCATATACATTTTTGATAACTCATCCACTAGAAAAAAAATGACCCCTAAACTTGCGGAAAATTTGGGCGGGATAACGCCCCCTTTTTAGACAATTTTTCAAAATTCTTCAAAAATTACTATACTCTATTGATGCAAAATGAAGCCACCCAACTCTGTATTCCCATTCTCACACTTGAATAGTAAAAATTATGTTGTCTGCAGACATTGCCTGATCTCTGCAAGAATGCAGTTCGAACAACCCCACCCCACACCAGAAATAATCATAAGTATATCAGGTCGCAAATATATTTCTCAAACATATATCAATTGGCAAACATAAATAGCGAGTTCAGTTCAGTGTTTTCGAGTGTTAAGACATCCCTCAAACTCTGAACAATTTTTATTTCAATTCCTCTTTTTTTAATTAGAAATTTTTATTAGATACTTAACTGTTTTGCTAGAAATAATTCAACAGTTTGCATCCTCTGAGCTATATTGATGGATGTTTTAATCTTGTTTGGAAGCAAGAGTTTTTCTAGAAAAAAAAAACAAAAAACAATTAGTTGTTCGACTTTTTGGTTTTAAGATCTGAAACCTTTATATTGAAAAAATTGTTAAAATAGGCAGTCAATTTTAGGTTATTCTAGAACTCTGAACAAAATTTGACAAAATAGTGCGCAAATAGCTCATGAATTGTTTAATATTTTGTGATAATTAAATTTTCACCTGCATTTATCGCTTTTTGTCCCGTAAAATATCATCCTGATTTTTTGCAGAAAAAAATTAGGGTGGAGTTTGGGTTGAGAAACTTGAGAAAATAGGGTATGAAATCAGCACTTCGTTTGGCACAAATTTCATCATCTGGGCAACAACTCCATCTTGTCTTCCTAATTTAATTTTAAACTTTTCAACATGCGTCTACAAAGACATTTTTGAATCAACAAAAACACCGAGATATTTGCAAAAATTTTTTATTGTTCTTGTGTGATGATTATGACACAAATTAAGAATGGAAGCACTAATGTTATTTCGAAAAAATAACGAAATTGAGTAATAAACGTTAATTAATAACTTATTTCTATTCAGTCAGCCACATATATTGTTAATATCCCTAATGAAAACTTCCAAGAAATCTTTCAGGCATGCAACATTAGTGTCATCCGCAAATAAATAAGTCGTAGAGTCTTTCACGCATTTGGGCATACTTTTTACATAATTCAAAAAAAGTGGTGGACCATTTCGAGACTCTTCCGGACTTACTTGTGATACATTGATTCAATGAGAGTACACCAGTTTCGTTAAAAACACCATGTCGCCCATTACATAAATAGCTCTGCAACTAGTTATTGCATTATCGCCTAGTTTCATAATTCAAGTTATAGTAGAAATGATTTTTTTGTAAACGCTTGTTCGATTTCCAAGAACATGCTACTGTTCATTTCGTTTTTTTTCTAAATCGGAGTTTTTTAATTCGACTAATGCATGGATGGTTTTGTATTTTTTTTTGGAATCCAAATTTTATTCATAAAAAATTAAATCTGTTCAAATAAATGTATAGACGGAAACAAATTTTTTTGGGGAAACCTTACCTCGGCTATTTACAATAGAAATTCGCCGATAACTTTTTTCATCTGCTTTACTCTCATCTTTTCAAAACGGTAGGACTTTGGTGTTTTGAAAGAGCTGTGGAAACTTTCTTTTTTGAATGACGCTAGATTTATCACAGACGCTAGATACGGTGGAACTACAGGCGAAACTTTTTTCATGGTAATGTCTTTACAGGCGAAACTTTTTTCAACTATTTAACTTTTTTACTAAACCATCCGGAGGACGGATTTACTTTTTTAGAGCTGACCAATTCCGGTGCAAACAGTTCTAAAATTTTAAAAAAATGTCAGAACAAAAGTCAAAGTCTTTATTCCAAAGTCGGAACAATTAAAAAAACGTTTGATCATAACAGTCTGGGTATTCAAATAATATACAACTCTAACATTCGATATGCTATGGCTTTTCATTGAGTAATGTTTGTGGCTTGTTAGAAACATAGTAAATGCAGATGGCTAAAGGTTCTTAACGTTATTCTAAGTGAAGCCATTTGTGTTAACAGAAAAACGTTGTTTCAGAAGTTGACAGGCACAGCGACTTCTTCGGAAAACTGAAAACTTATTCTATCCCCTTCACCATTTCGGCCACGTAAGTATTCACATTACAACAGCTAAAATACTCCATGATTCAAATTATATTAGAAAATCAAACTCAAAGAGTTTTCGAAACGTTTTTTTTGAACACCAGTAACAATTTCAGTGGCATCGGCATCTTATCTGTAAAAGCGTTGAATTTGTGCTGATACATTTTAATGCCACATCCAATTTTGACTAAATGCTTTCGGCTGACATCATCCGACAGTAAGCAGCTGCTTGCAACATTATGAGGTCATCGGCAACTCGCAGCGAAAGTCAACCCGAAAAAAAACAGACAACTCGCAATATTTAAGGAGAGAGACAATTCACAAAACTCAACAAACTAGCTCGCATCAGGGCGAATCAATTTTTGCTTCAAATACCCTTTAACAGGAGCGAATCTAGGAATTTCTCGAAGGGTGGGGGCGGATTTTCAAAAAAAATTTCGACCAAATTGATTTTTTAAGCGCTCCCAAAGCACTAAAAAGACTTTGTTTTGGCCAAATGTTGTGCGTCGCAGACAAAATTTTGAAAAACAGGCCAAAAAAGATTTTTTTAGGCATTTTTTAAAAACTTTTGACCGAAAAATCGCGTTTTTCGGCCCGCACTCCCCTCTCAAAGTTAGTATAAATTGGCGCCGAAAGCACCTATAGAAACTTTTTAGGGTCCGTCGCCAAAAATGGATATCTCAAAATAGTACTAAGGGGGGAATGTTGCGCCTTAGTTATCCCAAAATGTCCAAAATGACAATTTTCATTGCCCTTACTTTTACGAAAAACGAAATAAGCGAAATAATTTATCAATTTTAAATTGAGCGAAGCACATCGATAACTTTCAGATAGTATAACAAAAACTTTCGTCAAAAATGGCTATTTACATTAATCGCCGAACTTTGTCTGAAAAAGCTACACCGATCAGAAACATTTCGTCACTTTCTTCAAAAGTTGGGGATCAACAAATGAATTTAAACAAGGCAATTCGAACAACTAGCTTCAAGATAGATGAACGGCCGTTATTTTTTAATCGGCGCAGAATCAACAGTTAACAAACAAGACTGCTCGTATATCAAGGAAAAACGCTGAAGGTTCCAATTGCCCTTTAACTGGTCCCGAATAGTTTTTAGTAAGAATATTAGAAAATAGGAATTTTGAGTTGATAATGTCAAATATTAATGTTTGATTTGTCTTAGGAACTAATACGACCGATTGGCTTGCCTCAAATCAATTTGGAACTAATTTGTTGTGACTGTGAAAAGCTTGGAACTGATCCCAACCGGCTAATGATTTTGGTCACAACATTTTCAAGTTACATATCAGCTTAGCTATTGTGTATCGTCTCATTATCCTAAATTCGATTTTTTTTACTGGAAAAAAAAACTTTCAAAAAACAAAATTGCTAAAAAAACTTAAAAACTTAGTTTTTTAAAATTCTTTTTTAGTTTCTTACTTCAATCATTGTGGTCGCATTTGCTAGAATCATAAAACTTTTTGCATAGCAACTGGTTAGCCTGAGTTTTTTACTCAAAACAATTACGTCTTTTTTGCCAAAGACATTACAACAAGAATAAGTGAATGAACAAAAAAAACACATAATTTAATTGTCGAGTCAGGATGACATTATTTAGCTCTTTTACTGCTTTCTATCTTATTGGTATACGTACAACAATATCTTCTTTTGATATTTGTCGAACAACTTTAAAAAACTGCAGCAGTTAAACGACAAAAAAAAACAATTCATCTGAAAGAATGTTGGATATTTTTTTTTTGAAATTTGTTCAATCAGATAGAAGAAAGTCGGAGAAAAAAGTCATACGCTGTTAACAGGGACAATCTAAGTGTAAAATGTGTTATTTAATGTTGACCGTTTAACCTCTGAGCTATACTTAGTGGTGACCTTTACCATACTAATTTAAAACACCTGCCAAAAGCGCAACGGCTTTTGTAAGATTTGGAATTTGTTCACTACCATGTTTTGATATGCAATAAATCATCTGAAACTAATTCAACCTTTTTAACATCTTTTACTTTAGATAGATACCACAGTCTTTTATTTAGTCTTAGATAAAAGCCTACAACTACCTTGTAGGAATCTTAATCAATCACATTTTTAAACTAGTCTTAGTTTAAGTTATCCAATCTTAATCAACAACGAGTTTTATCCTAATTTTTTAACATGGCGCAGTCAAACGAGTCGAATCTACGAGGACTAGAGTTTTTTTGGAATAACTCATCGAATGAAAATCAACACGACTGGGAAAGGTGGTCGGAAAAGTTTCAACTAACAATTATCGCGAAAGATTCCGTAGACATCGAAGACGTAATCAACCCACCGGTAAGAACCGAACTAGTATACCCCATGGCAGAACCACCGGACCCGTCCGATGATCAAGCCCGTCGGGCCGAAAAAAAGAAGAACACCACCGAATAGCTATACAAAACTACAACGAAGAATTGAGAAGGAGAAGGGCAGAAGACAACGCAAAATTCAACGGACTTCAAATCGGAGATATCGACAAGAAACTAAAATCACAGTTGTACCTAGCACTCGGAAAAGAAGGACAGAAATGCTTCTCACATAAAAATCCTGGGAAAAGAATATTGAACATTACTTTTGCTGAATTCTGGGAATTACTCAAAACTACTTTTACGGTCACTACAAACCTAACATACGAAAGATTTAAATTCTTTGGCCGAAGACAGAAAGAACACAAGTCTTTAGAGATATTCCACGAAACACTTTCTGAATTGGCAAAAAATTGTAAACTGGGGAACTCGAGTCAGAATTAGTCAGAGACATTTTCATCACAAATATGAGAAACGTCGAGATTCAGAAGAAACTATGTATAGAATACTTTACCCCGGAAAATGTACTATCTTATGTATTAGTTCACGAGAAAAGCACTAAAATCCATCAACAGTACTTAAAATTCCCAGCCTATAACGCGGTACAGAGACCACAATACATAAAGAATGAACCAACCCTAAACATCGTCGAAAATAACAAGTGCCGCAACTGTGGTCAGCAATTCAAAAAAAGACACTTAACCACATGCCCGGCCACGGACAGACATTGCAATACGCGGGGACGCAAAGGTCATTTTGCTAAACATTGCAGGAGTTCAGCAAGGACGCAAACAAACATTATCGAACAGAATCAATTACCCCAGGAAAACGAAAAATACCCGGGCCAACCCGCAGGAAAATCCCGAATTTGAAGTCAACTTAGACGATTTTTTAGTTCTAGCTGTAGACACGGATAGCCAAATAAATGCAGTAGAAGACAAGATAGAACGTGGAGTGAGAACTGTATTTAACCACGAAGGATTAGAACTAAAAAAGACATTGAAGGTATCTCTGGGAAATTTCAACCCTTACTGTACTGAAATCCAGATTGACTCAGCAAGCCCAGTTTCATTCATGAAAAAAGACCTACTACATGAACTGAAGATACGAGATAGATTTTTAAAGTTAGAACCTGTGGATGAAATAACAAAGAAAGCATACCAGGGCTTCGGGAGTACAATCAACATTATTGGAAGAGTTCGGGTGAGAATCCGATCGAAGGGATGGGAGGCTTGCGATCAAGAACTCTTCATTACCGAAGGAGCAGAAAGAAACCTCATCGGAAACGATATTTTTTTCCGAATCTGGGAATAGTAGTATTCCAGAAACAACCTTCACCCAACGGGTCAAAGTCACGGAAAGTTCAGAAAGGATCACCCATCGGTATAGACGTCAACCAAATAAGATTTGCATCGGACAGCAAACAAGACCAAAACCAAGAGACACCATCTCAAAGTGAGTTTAAAATATACATATCAAAACATTTTTCAGACCTCATAAAAAGAACCGGCAGATCAAAGAACTTCGTAGTCAATACTTATTTTAACGAACCAATAAAGCCGATACAGGTGAAGGGGAAACGCATTCCGATCCATCTTCTCCCTAAAGTCTAATTATGTGTCGACGAACTACTAAGAGACGGGCACGTTGAAAAAATGTCTAGATGCTCTGAAGATTGTTTCATCTCCCCTATCGTAATTACAGCTAAAAGGGACGGATCAATTAAGTTAGCATTAAACACGAAATTATTGAACAAACAGATATTTCGTAATAGATATCAAATGCCGAACCTATTCGAATTATTTGATAACGTAGCAAATACGATTAGCGGTCACGACGAAAGAAACATTTGGTTCTCATCGATTGATCTAAAGTACGCATATAGTCAAACACCGCTTTCAAAAAAGGCAAGTAACCAATGTAATTTCAACATCGTGGGGGGAGAAGTAACGGGTTTCTACCGTTTTAAAACCGGATTTTATGGACTAGGCGATATGCCTAATGAATTTCAACGCATAATGGACCGTTTGACGGAAAAGTTATCAAATAGCCATTGTTACCTCGACGACATCTTAATCGCCACCGTAGGTAGCGAGGATGAACACAAAAAGCTAGTTATTAACGTTTTAAAAAAGCTAGACGACGAGCGATTAGCCATAAAATGGGAAAATTGCACATTCTTGACTCACAACATAGATTGGTTGGGATTTAAAATCGACGCAAAAGGGACGACACCATTAATACACAAATCTGACGCAATCAGAAATCTGAAAGAACCAAATTGTATAAAAGATATTAGATCACTAATGGGATCGATTAACCAATTCAACAAGTTCATACCAAATTTAGCGTCCTTATCAGCACTGTTTAGAGAACTTATACAGAAAAATAAACCATTTAAGTGGTCCACGGTGCACGCTGAAGCGTTTGAAAAAATTAAGAAAGAAATTTGCAACACGGTAACGAACCATCATTTCGATGTAAAACTGAACACCCGAGTGAAATGCGATGCCTCACATTTAGGATTGGGCGCGTCTATCGAACAAGACTATCGGGGGAATTGGAAGACTGTAGCGTTCGCAAGCAGATTTTTGAACATAGCCGAGTTAAAGTACAGCACCAATGAACTCGAATTGCTGGGACTAGTGTGGGCATTAGACCATTTTAAAAACTATTTTTTGGGCAAACAATTCTCAATTTTAACAGACCACAAAGCCTTATTAGGAGCACTGAAAGATGACAAATATACTAAAACGGCTCAATCACGTCTCATCCGTTGGGCGGACAAATTACTACCATTCGACTTTAGTGTCGAAAATTTACCGGGTAAAGATATGGGATTCGTTGATTATATATCCCGACACCCATCGGGTGAACCCGTAACAGTTTCTGTTGATGACGAAAAATTTGTTATCGCATGGGTAAATCAGATTAGTACACTCCTAGGTTTCGATCATCTGATGCCGAGAAATTCGTGGTCGCAAATAAGAAACAAATTCTGCCAACATTTCTTAGCCAATGACGTCACTTACTGCAACACAATTGGCCAGTCGACAGATCATATGATCTGCCAAGAAATAGAACGTGAGAAACGAATAGCTAACGCCGCTGAAACTTTCCAAGCTATAGCTAACTACTCTAACATTTCAGTGTGCCAAAATTCTCACATGCGTACGGAAGATTGTGACTCATCCTGCAAAATCAACGACTTTTTTTAAACAAATTTTAACATCCTGAAAGAAAGATATGGCTGAACAATTAGAACCTAATCAACAGAAAGAACATTCTACAAATGAAAACATGGATACTTTAACACCAAGTACTAGTAACCCGTCGGATAACCCCGTAAAAAGATCACCTATTAAGAAGAAAACAGTTAACATATTCCCTTTCTCTTGGCCAGAAATATTTGATTCAAAATTTATGTCCTTATTATCAAAACAAGATCTAGTACTGAAAAAGATAATTAAAGCAATTGAGGAAGACCGCAAACAAGATATTTTACAATTGGGAAATTACTATAAATCGTACTTAAATAACCTACACGTTAGCGGAGGATGTCTTTATCTGGAAATTCGACTAGTTATCCCAGCATGCCAAAGGTCGACAATGCTCCACCGGTTACATGAGGGTCACCCAGGCCAGTTCGCAATGAAAAGTCTGGCAACTCAATACATCTGGTGACCAAAAATTTATCGCGAAATCCAAGTCCACGGCGAAAACTGTATTGAGTGCGTTAAAGCAGGTAAAAACTTGAAACCTCTTTCAAACCATAATACCCTAGAGAAACTCCCAACGGTCAAAGAACCAAACCAAGAAATGGAATTAGATTTCGCCGGTCCGTTACCTCTAGTATGGGGAATAAAAAAATACATATTGGTATATGTGGATAGATTTTCAAAATTCCCATCTGCTCAAATAACATCCAGCACATCGGCAAAATCCATCATAAACTTCCTTAGTAAATACATAGCTCTACATGGGATATAGCTCTACAAGAGACTGGTTTTATCTCCAAAGAAGTCAGAGAATTTTGCCACGAACATAACATAAAGGTGATATTTAGCCCAGTGGGTGACCATAGAGCCATTGGATTAGTTGAGCGCTTAATCAAAACCATTAAGGAAAGGCTCTTGGTTATGGCACAAGAACGCCCAAAACCATCGCTAGAATATGCACTATTGAAAATAATAAAATGCCTAAGAACGGTAACTCAACAGTCGCTTAACTGTTCTCCCTTTGAAGCACACTTCGGTAGATCCCCAAACACCATCTGGCATGATTTAGTCAAGTCACCCTCTTCAAATAACCTTGATTGGAACAAAACTTTGTTATGCATAGATAAGGGCAGAAAACCAATGAGCCGAGAACGAAGACACGACTGGGACGCCCCTGACGATATAGAAGACGGAGACTTAGACGAGAACTCCTCATCCTCTGATGATATCTCCAATGCAGTGAGATACGTTCCAACCAGTGCTGGCTCCCCACTCTAGGATACGTAAATCTGATTTAGCTATCAAAAGACAATCTACTCAGAAGAAACCCAGCCCGAGAAAAAGAGACCAATTAGTTAAATTCTACGCAACAAAGGGACTGAGGAAGACTGCGAAACCGCAAAGAAATGTCGGGTTTAAAAGTTCAAGAGCGACGCAAAAGAAAAAGAACCTTCAGTCGAAATTTGAAGAGCTTGATATAGCAAGGCGGAACACGGCCATGAATAGCTCCAGAGAGACTCTTCTTAGAGAGGAAGAAGAACAGAGGAAAAGACCAAGATTTCCAATAGGCCCCGAAAGCGACCAAGAATCAAGCCCGTCGGGCAAACCCGACCACCGTAAAATTTGCGAAAACGAACTTGGAGCGGCGAATTACCCAAATGAAGACATTTCAGACGAAAACGCTAGCGATCTAATTTCGTTAAAAGAGCTTAAGACCAAAACGTCACTTGAATCTGCAAAACCAAAGGAAGATTCAATTCTAGACCGAACAGACCCTAAGGCAGAATTCACGGATCAGTCCGAACAGAAAGTAGAGATGGATAAGATTCCGCGGATCGATCTGGATTCAGGCGACAATGATAGGGACCCACAGGTGACCCAGCAGCTGGTTTTCCTTGACACTCATGAGGAGGCCGAGAAAATGAACCAAGAAACGCCGTTTCCTTTGGAGAATCCTGGAGGGGAACCGACCGAGAAGAGTGTCGAGCCTGACCCTATCAATAAAAAACCGAAACTGTCCGGTACAGCCAAGAGGAAAGCGTCATCTCCGGTGAAATCACCGCCCCCGAAGAAACTGCCTGAGATCTATACACGACAGAACACTAGACCCATGCGAAATAGACAGCCCCCAAAGATGCTGGATGAGAGAGTGTTTACCAGCGTAGTAGACTTAACAGACGAAAATTCAGACGACCAAACATCTAGTTCAGCAAATACTCCCCCAGCCTACCCAATGATAGAAGCAATCTCTGTCGAAATGGAGAGCCATCAAGTTGACGTTGTGGACTTGACAACCTTGACACCACCCTCACCATCGCATCCCACAACAGTTTATTTGCTGGAATAAAGCTTCGAGTATCCGAGTGATACAAAGTCTTCTGTAACAGCTAATCAAAATACTCCACGCAAGAAGGTCAAATTCAGTCCTGAGGTCTGCACCACCCAATTCAACCCATCGGGCCTACCCTCCGAAACTTCCGAACCAACATCTTCACCAATTGTACTCGATCCGGACTGGCTGAACACTATCTCTACCATTTCGGCGATAGAACTCTTAGGACGGCCAATGATGCTTGAGGAGCTAAGGAGATGGACGATTAACAGAGCTGCAAATCGGGACGCAAATTAGAAGTACTTAAGACTAGTAACTTTGCTATTAAAACTCTCAGAAACTATCCAACCCTGCGTAACACTATAACGCATTTAGAGCTAAGACAAACTCCTAGTGCTGGTATAATACGCTAAAATTGGATTATTTCTGGTACCACTATAAATTTTAAATTGAGTCATATAACCTTGCTTTCACTTCTGCTAAATCCTTCTCTCACCCATTGGGTGTCACCACTGGATAAATATTCGACCTATCCATTATAGTGCTACCTTTTTGTCCATCGGGCCCTTCTGTGGGGTCTTCCTTGACCAGCCTACCCGCTCATTCACCCCAGCGCCAAAACAATTCTTTTGTGTGGCGAAAGTAATGGGTTATAGATAAATTTTCGCTTTTATGGAAGATGCTATTATGGTTCACGGTGCTTGTTATAGTGCTATCTTCTTGCCCATCGGGCCCTTCTGTGGGGTCTTCCCTGACCAGCCTACTCGCTCATTCACCCCAGCGCCAAAACATTTCTTTTGTGTGGCGAAAGTAATAGATTATAGATAAATTTTCGCGGGGAATGTAAAATGTGTTATTTAATGTTGACCGTTTAACCTCTGAGCTATACTTAGTGGTGACCTTTACCATACTAATTTAAAACACCTGCCAAAAGCGCAACGGCTTTTGGTAGATTTGGAATTTGTTCACTATCATGTTTTGATATGCAACAAATCATCTGAAACTAATTCAACCTTTTTAACATCCTTTACTTTAGATAGATACCACAGTCTTTTATTTAGTCTTAGATAAAAGCCTACAACTACCTTGTAGGAATCTTAATCAATCACATTCTTAAACTAGTCTTAGTTTAAGTTATCCAATCTTAATCAACAACGAGTTTTATCCTAACTTTTTAACACTAAGATTTTCTCGGGGGAAATTTTTTCTACCTTTTTCTTTTTTTTTTAGGTCGACCAAAATAATTTTTGAGATCTGCTGTCCTCCTAAATCAGTACAAAGATCTTATTTTGACCACGCCCCCCTAAATCCACCCCTGGATGTTAGTCAACTCGGGAGAGTACAGCAACTGCCCCGCCTTTTTTTTTTAGCTCTATGACGGTGAACACTCGATCGAGTGGAACTTCTTTCTTCCACAACTACCTGTCAAGCTGCAAAATGAGCAACAATGAAGAAAATCCGTGCACCGAATGCCATGAAAACGAACAAATTAAGTACGTATTACTAGGGTTCATCTGAGCAATCAAACGCATTGCTTAAGTCAATAAAATTCAAGTTTTTAAATTTTAACGTTGTCCCCTCCCCTAAAAAACTATAAGAAATCAGAAAATTAGGAAGAATGTGGCTACAGCAAAAAGAGTATCTTCCATTAAAAGTTTTTTAAAGTTTTATAAAAGGAAGGAACATTAAGAAGACTTATGACGTTTTTAATCAAAAGATTTACATATCGCCAGGGGCTGATCTAGGATTTTCTCGAGGGGGGATGTTCGAAAAACTTTCGAAATTTTATCGACCTTTCTTTTAAGGCCCCAATCAAAGTGATTTTGTGAGCTCCCCAAATCACTATAAAGACCTTATTTTGACAAAATTTTCTGCACAGCAGGCAAATTTTGAAAGCATGCCAAAAAAGAAGTTTTTAGGCACTTTTTGGAAATTTTGACCAAAAACTCGTGCTTTTTTCGGCGCGCCCCACTAAATCCGCTGGCGCATATAGTCAAACTATGAAGCAATAAACATTGTTGTATTGATAACCAGGATAAAGTAAAAACAAACCTAGACAAAATTTGCAATTTTTTAATGCGTGCTTTTGTTTTTAGAAGCTACGTTCAATCGAGAATGAGATCTTTAGGCGACTTGATTTCGAAAGCCAATTCTAACCTTACAATTGAATGGAAGGTAAGCAATTAATTTGTTAAAAAAACAGAGGCCAATTTAGGATGCTTGAGGCTGCGTAGAACTCTTGAAACAATTAGACCCCTTCAACCAAAAGATTTTTGTCCGATTTATTTACAGCTGACAGATCCTATAAAATGACAAATTTTTTTAAATTTAAGTGAGCAAAGCAAACCGATATCGCAAGAATTCCACGATAGCCTAAACGGTAATTTGTCACGTTCTCTTACAAATTGAGTGATTCACTCTGTTTTCGAATATCTCAAAACTAGTTTAAAATGGTAAGACAAGGAAACATTTGTCAATTTTTGGAATAAAAATAGCCTGTATTTCTGGCACTTCCTTCATAGATTTAGTACAAACTGGCGTGGCGGACCACAGATTCCTTAAAAAACATCAGAAAAATACTTTATCTGCGACATGGGTCGAGTTCCTAAATTTTATTACCAAAACTCGCGTAAAACGAAAAAAAAAATGGCAAAAAAACTAAGTTTTTTTGACGTCCTGCAGAATATAATGGTCTGTACACACATTTTGATCCTTCTTAAACTTAGTAGAAAATTTCACCCCTCTAGCTTTTCGCCCGTGATAAATTACCCCCAGGTCCCATAATAAACTTGGGGGGGGGGGGGGGGGGGGGTGAAATTTTTGTGGCAAAATGCGCTACTAAGTTTAAGAAGGGCGAAATGTTTGAGGGGGGCGACACGTGCCACATTCATTCTATAAAAAAAACAATTTTCATTTAGGTCAATCTGCCGAGTCAATTCTCCTATAGCAGTTTGAAATCTGATTGGACAGTTTATGAGTCAGTGATGGACGTGCAGCTCCATAGCAACATCCTCAACAACAACGAACACTGACAAGAGTCACACGGTTTAAACAAAAAACAGATCTATTTTAAAAATTTCGGTTTTCCAAGAAGGGGGGTTGTCCTCGATATTAGACTCACAATTAGTTTCCTGCATGAAACTCGCCAACCAGTTTTTTAATCAAACACAGGGTAATAGTAAGTAGAAGTCAAAAATTGTAAAATGGATCTGAGAAAAAATAGTACGGAAAAACTGACCACTTCATAGATTGCTGACGATAGTAAAGATATAATTTAGATTAACTCCTGAATTTAATTATGTGAAGAAATAATACAGATGTTCAACAATATTGCTGAGCTTAAATTTATTAATCTAATTAAACTATCTAGATGTTTTGATTATAAGTAAAATCTTTTCTGAGCCTACCACTGAAAATGGGAAGGAACTTTGTATTCGTATCCGTTGTGATTTCATCGATACCTTTAAAAACTTTTAAAAGTCTTGTGCTGAAAAAACTGACTCGAAGTAATGGTTTTTTAGACTAATTTATTGCGGCGAGAAACGCGATCAAGTAGAAAGGGAGCAGAAGCGAATTAATCAAGAAAAGAGACAACTTTTTTTCCATAATTGGGTTGTTCTAAACTAGTAAGGAAAATTCAGCATACCTAATCTCCCTGTAACCAAAATTTGAAAAATTCTGAAAATAAATTTAAAAAAAATAAATGATTTTTTGAATAAGTTTTTTTTCGAAACAGTTTAGTTGATAACAGTGGTCGGAAGTTTTAGTGCTATCTGCACATCAACCGCTCGCGCTTATTACGTTTAAATTTATTAACATCTGAAGTTTGAACAATTTTTTCTTCTGTATGCATGATTCATTGAATAAGTTCACTGAAGGCACATTACGTCAAGTAGAAACGAAATAATTCCTTCACGAAGAGACAATTCTGCATATTTCTTCACCTCCATTTCCGAAAAACTCTCTTCATAAATAATCGACTTAACTTTCAACCTTTCTATAATTTTATTCTTCAATAGTCGTTGCTTCGTCCACGAATTGACTTCATCATGCGCTTTTTTGAACTCTATTTCGCCATTCAGTTCTTGTAACCAACTTAACACTTTAGCGGTTCCAACTTTATGATCAGAAACTTTATGGTCCACAATTACAAAATTCTCCTGCTTTTTTGGACTTTTATCGGGATCATCATTTTTCCTCCGAGAACCCCAAGCGATTGTAGCAGCCGCAATGAAGTGATTGCTCACAAATCCGATGTTCTCAAAGCCGTCAAACGAAATCTCCACTTCCGGTTGTCTGAAATTACTAATCATTTCATGCAATTGTGAAAAAGCGTGAATAGCCATAGTATATGATTTTTCAGGCCTCCCGAGCCAGGAATGTAAAATGGGAACGTGGTGCGCACGCATTCTCATCGTTCCTGCAATTGTTATTAAGTATTGAGAAACAGTCATCGGATCTGAAATTTTTTCAAACCCGAACTTAAAGTCAAAATCTTTAAAATCCCATTTGAAAAACGTGGGCGTCAGAAAAAAATTAGGCTGGGCGATCATGATGTAATCGTAAACGTTGAAGTAATTTTTTATATCCGGGTGTCCGAGGTATCCAAATTTGTACAGCACTTCAATTGGCAAATTGTTAAGTTCAAGAGGTTCGTAATAACAGGTAGAGTTTAGGTTATAATTTAGAGATGAATAATGAGGTAATGGAACACATGAGCTTGGAAGTGATTTGCAACTTGAAGGTTCGCAGAAGGTCAGAATGTCAACAACGTGGGCAGTAAGAGAATCCCGGGTCCATTCAAAGTAATCCAAGATGCCTTTCCAAGAAGCAAAAACGGTAACCCTAAACTGCACCACAGGGTCTTGATATTTGACAAACTTCCAGGGTTTCGCAGTTGTGCTCAAGAACTCCTTGGGTCGTTTCAGATAAAACATCAGTGCGATTCTTTTACGATTCGGGTTAACTTTTGGGATATATTGATAAGGGGGCATCAGTTTATAAGCAGACTCCCTGATATGACGATAGTCGGTGAAAGTTATCATGGTGTTTATCGGCATTAAAGTTTGATTGGAAAAGTTTTCATTCGGCAAGGGTATAAAGCTTTCCAATTCTCGAGCGTTGCCGTACAAATGAGATAATGACCGCGAAATCAGGCAAAATGTTGCTTCAAATTTCCAAAACAGTAAAAGAAGAACTAAAATAACTCCGACGCATTTCACTTTAAGTATAAACCTCGAGAAACGTCGTCCGTTCATAACAAAGCTTTTGACGAGGTAACCACCAAGTTTTTAGAGCAGAACACTATTTTAGCACCAACGTTTCACGTGCAAAAACCGAGAATCGTGGATTTCCGTTAACTAAAATGTTGTCTAGACTAGATTATCCAAAATCGTGGCAAATTTAGAGCAAGTAACGGATTATCATTTCCTTATAATCAATCATTAGAATCCAATTTTTTTTCAACACAATCCATATTTTTTGTTCATAAAACCCATACAAAACAGAATAGTTTTGTAAAAGTGAATTGCTTACTCTGTTTTTTTTGCTTACTTGTCTCGAACACGAACAAACACGCTCATCGATATGTTCACCATCTCTTGTTCCACCTTAACCCCCCGCCCCTCCCACTACGTCTCATCACCTCCGACCCTCTCACAACGTCCCCCACCCTTCATTATGTACCCCCCCCCCCCCCACGCTACCCTTATCACGCATCCATTTAAATGAATATGTTTATTTCAATTAGGAGTTAAGATGAAAAGAAAAAAAAATAGAAAGTTAAGATAAAAATAGATATTAAGATAACAATATTCTATTAAAATCGATTATACGCTGATTTTTTTTCTTCAATAATTATTAACATTATAATCCATTTTAATCAATTATTAATAAATGTTTCCAAACTTTAGAGAAACAGACGATAAAAATCCAATATGATCGATTATGATTCATTAAACTCCAGTGAGGGTCATTGTTTTAGGATGTGAAACGCCTATTCGTAAAAATACTTTTGGAAATTTTCAAACCAATTTTACAAAACGAGCGCAAAAAAAACTGCGGAACTTAAGAAATTAAGAATAGTTACGTTCAAGGGCCATTCAAATTGGATATTATACTTTTTTCTGAGTGTGAAATTGCTCGCTTTCTGCATCTGCAAAAACTTTTTCCACCAGCCTGAAAGTTTAGATTAGCAGTGAGTCTGAAATCAACTATCAGCTAACAGAGGACATCAACAAACTAGTTTAATCTCGTTGTTCAAATTTTCAAAAATATCTTTAAGCTTACAAAAATGCGCTAAAATTCTGCCTAAACAAAGTCCAGGCAAAACCAAGCATGTGGTAAAGCCATGTCAAAAAAGTCGCGGCGAAACTGATATATGACGAGATTTAATTTTAACGCGATTCTATTAAGACATCTAACTTTAATTGGAAAACGCCACTGTAATTAACATCCGCGTAGAGCGCAAATAATTGTCAATGGCCTACCAAGCAGATTTTGTAAGATCGAAACTGCCACAAGTGAGAAATTGTTCTATGCAAAATAAAACAATGATAATTTGGTTTTTTTTCGGCATTTATCAAAAATGTGAATCTAATTGTGGTGTACGGAAAATATCTTAGTATTTCTGTTGAAACTTGAGCAGTTTGTAGAAAAAATGAAAGTTAATTTAGTGCGCACAACCGTTCAAACAATTCTCGCAAAAAGGGTTACCGAACATAAAATCATGTGCCACCTTTTTGTCAAAGGGTCTAAATTGACTTAGATCTCATTAAAATATTAGATCCCAGTAAAAGCAATTAAAATAAAAAAGTGCGAGATAATTTTTTAAATTAAAAAACTAGAAAATGGCATTTTGATTTTCAAAATGGCATTTTGGTTTTTGGGAACTTACAATTTACAGGTTTAACACTGAGAAGTTACAATTTAGCGCAGTTCATGAGGAAAAGTAAACGAACAAAATTTTTGTTAGGATCTTGGAAGTATTTAATGGTAACCTAAGTGGTAATTTAGATAATTTGCTCATAGTTTGCCGACTTCTTTTGGGTTTTCCAATTCGAAGTTTTTCTTTGATGTACATTAGTAGACAAAATTAAACGCAACTGTGGATTCTACTTTCTAAAATGCCTGTTTTCAATGTCCATTTTGAACCACATTTCATTCGAATTTCAGAGAGACTTTTAAATAGACCAAGATCAAATGATCAAAGCTACCCTTTACGAAACTATCGTTACTTGCTTAATCCGGGCCTGAAAATGCCAGTTTTCCTTATCTACACTAATTTTTTTAACTTCGCGTGAAAAAGTGAAAAAGTAAGAAACAGTCGAGTTTATAAAGTTTTCACACTGATAAATTCAATTTTCTCGCCGATAATGTTTGACATCGCATGAACATTTTTTTTCTCCGCTTATTCAAGAAAAAACTCACTACGATGCAAAACTTAGTGCAGTACGAGAAATCCGGCATTTTCAAACCCAGATTACATTGGTAAGTCTTTGAAACCAATTATATGGACAGTTTCACAGAGGACAGCTTTGATCATTTGCTCTTGGTCTATGTAAATATTTTTCTGGAAATCGAAGTAAATGTGGTTCAAAATGGACACTAAAAACATTTTAGAGAGTAAAATTCTAAATTAGCGCTTTTTTATTTTATCCACTGGTGTAATTTCGAAATTTACGATTAAAACTCAAAATTAAGCTTTGCTGATAATCGATTGCAAAGTTTGCTCAGCACACTTTTGGATAATCAATGTGAACGTGCTCGTTTTTTGCTGCATACTCGTTTTTCGCAACATTTAACTTATCTATTTGATTGCAAAAACCATAGTTGGCTAATTTAATCCACGATAACAAACAACCGTTAGAGACTACAACATTTTGTAAATGTAGCACAATTTTCAAATGCGACACGAACAAATTGTGCACTGGTTTTTTAATTACAGCATAATTTGACCGACCAGGGCTAACTTAAAATCAGATATAAAACATTCTATATGTTTCCGTACTGTAGTTGAAAAATTAAATTCTAATGGGCAATAGGTTTTGATGCTTTATTTGAACATTCAATCAAACGAATAGAATGTAATAACTACGTATGGGCGAGATTTTGTTTTCAAATGTGCGTGCTTTTACATGTCGTTTATACTGGATAAGCCACATCTTATATTGCATCTCGAACTTTAACCACATCTTGAAACTTCGTGTCTCAATTTGTGCCACAAAAATTCTCGATGCAGTATATAGCTGTTGTTTATCTACAATATAAGTAACAGCTATATGT